CACAAGAGATCCTTCCCGCCCACAACCATCAACATCTAGAACAACTCTTTTATGAAACAAGGAAAATGAGCTACAACAACATTTAATTTCCCTCTGGGGTTAATAAAGTATTTTTGAATTGAATTTGAATTGTATTAAGATGATATGAATAATATAAGAAATAAGACACGGTATGCTCCCATTAGTGGTCTTTCAGAGCTGGCTGGGTGACGGTCCAGAGCAAGCGTAGTGCTAAGGCTAAGCCCCCAGTTCACCACCGACCCGTTCACGTTTCTAATAGATTTTCCTCGCTCAGTGACACACCCGCTGAGAAGCAGACCCTGGTTATTGGAAGCTCCATAGTCCCAAATGTGTCTTTAGGGACTCCAGCGGCCATAGTCAAATGCATTCTGGGGCCCAGAGCGGGCGACATAGAATCTTATCTGAAACTGCTGACTAAGGCTAAGGCTAAATACAGTAAGATTTTTATTCACGTCGGCGGTAATGACACCCGGTTACGCCAATCGGAGGTCACTAAAATTAATGTTGCTTCGGTGTGTGACTTTGATAAAACCATGTCGGACTCCGTAGTTTTCTCCGGCCCCCTCCCCAACCTGACCAGCGATGATATGTTTAGTCGTATGTCGTGGTTTAACCGCTGGGTGTCCAGGTGGAGTTCTGACAACGACGTGGGCTACATAGATAACTGGAGTTCTTTCTGGGGAAAACCTTTTTCGCACGCCCACAGCGTTTACAATGCTGCGGCTAATTTATGGATTTTTAAAATGTATTTATATATTTATTTTTTGACGGGCTAATGGGCTTCATGCCGCCAAAACATCCCGGGTGTGCCGCCTTGTCACACCTGGGTACTCGCATAGCTTATCCATCCGTCCACACGCACATACACAAACCCACACACACAAGGTACAGCCCACAATTACTTTCTAAAATTTCCATGTAAATCCATTCATGAGGTGTGTTCAGAAATTCAGATTTGTCATTCACACCACACGTGGTACATGAAGTGGGATGAAGCTATGTACACAGGGTCCCAGTTACATCCAACAAAAACACAAATTGTAAAGAAAAACAGTCGGAGCCGAGTCATGAACTAACAATATAGTAAATACTAACTGGTGTTGAGGTGCAGGTAAAGAACATCCACATGCGATCACTCAGACACGCAAACACATTTTAACTTTGTTTTCTGAAGGCTCATTTTTTTCATTCATTCAACCTTTATTTAAACAGATAAGTCACATTGAGCTTCGAAGACTCATTTACATGTGAGACCTGTTTAGACAGATAATAGTGTGCAGTGGAGAGCATCCTGTGCTCCAGCATCAATGTGTGGCATGGAGGCTGCACAGCTGCAGAAAGAAAAGCTTTGCAGAGAGTGGTGAAGGCTGCACAGAAGATGTTGGAGTCAGTCTCCCCACCATCACAGACATCTACACCTCCAGATGCAGGAAGAGGGCCACCTGCATCATGAAGGACCCCACCCACCCAGCACACTCACTTTTTGCCCCACTCCCCTCAGGAAGGAGGTTAAGGAGCATTAAGTGTAGAACCACTAGACTGAGGAACAGCTTCTACCCTGAGGCTGTTAGACTCATGAATCTCTAACTAGAATAATCACTGTGAAAAACCATATCATGTTGCTGCTGATCTGTTTCATGTTGCTGCTGATCTGTTTCAATGTTGATGTGTTCATGCGTGCACATCTGCTCACAGACTCATGTTCATGTTTGTGCTGATGTTCAATGTTTTATGTTATGAGTGCTTAGTGTATATTTAGTTGATGTTTTTCTTAGTTCATATCTTTGATGTTATTACTGTTTTTCTTATACATTTTATTGTTGGATGTAACTGGGACCCTGCGTACATAATTTCGCTCCACCACATGTACCACATGAGGTGCGAATGACAATAAAGAAACTCTGACTCTCTGACTCTGACTCTGATAATAAAAGTGGTGAAAAATGACACATAAGGTTTGGAGACAAAAAAATCAACCTAACACGCTGTTAACCTCTGTTTGAAGGTCAACAGCGTGTTAATGAAACAAAATCTTGCACACGAGCACATCATGACACCGACATTACGCGGGAGTGGGTCAAAAAGCAGGAACCAGTTATCATAAATCCAATTATAAATGCGTCCTTAAAATCCACAGATGACAGCAGAGATGGACACATCATCAAGTCTAGAAAGTCAAAGAGATATCCAGCTGCGTGCGTGCCAACAGGGCAAATCTGCTCTCTTAAAGCCTGTCTTCATAGAAATGTTATGAATTGTGTTGAGGGACCAACTGACCAAATCCAAGTCCATAGTTATGATTCTGAAGGTTTGTAGAAGAGAGGCTCTAAAACATTTTCACAGACAGACAGAGCAAAAGCACGGTGGAGAGGGAGAGGAGGAGACGTCCGCCCCTGAGAAGAGCAAGTGTTGAATTGCAAATAAAAAGAGTTTGCATATTTTTTTCAACGTTTTGTTGCAAACATTCATTCAACCGTTATTTCTACAGGTTAGTTCAAGTATCTTTATTATCCCTGAGGGGCAGTTAGTTTCAGTAAGTAGATCTAAAACATAGATACTACACAAGACATTAATGCTGTGTTCCAATCCAGCGGCCCCATCCTTCGAAGGACCCGGCCTACCCGGTCGACGTAGGTCGGGTCCTTCAAAGACCACATAGACCGGAAGTCAGCGGCTGTGAATTGGGACAGTCTAGCCTTCAGGGTTACGTCAGCATACGTCCTGTCGCCTAGCAACAGTGACAGTGCTCAGCCGAAGAAAGAATGGAGATCGAAATGTTAAGTTTTCTAATGCTTTTTTAATTCTACAGGGAATACGAACTTTATCGCCACCGCCGGCATGTTGTATTTCTTCTTCTGAGAGACAATCATATACAGGTAACTGCTTTTTTTAAGTCTACAAACTTTCAAGGAATAACTGTTAACTTCAGCTAGTTTCATGGATAATTTCAGTGACAGAAAGACTAATGTATTAACTTTAACTTTTGCATAATAAATAAAATCTAAATGTATCTTATTAAAATATTAATAATTTAATAAAATGTAATTAATTAAATAATTTTTTTTTTTCATTTACCTTTTATTTATCCAGGTAGTCTCACTGAGTCACGAGAACTCATTTTCAAGAGAAACCTGTTTAGGGAGCAGATGGTGGGGGTTAAGGGCCTTGCTCAGGGGCCCAGAGTGGGGCCAATGAATTAACTTAAATTATCTTAAATTTAGAATACAGCATAACATTTTCCAATATTAGTTTTATAAGGACACCACCTCCAGAGGACCTGGAGGTGGTGTCCCGTGGGTTTGCAGGGCTGGCACGCCACAGAGCCTTTTCTTGTTGTTTTGAATGAACTTACTGTTCCATCCATCCATTATCTTTACCCGCTTATTCCATTTTGGGTCACGGGGGTCGCCGGTGCCCATGTCCAACAATCACTGTGCGAGGGGCGGGGTACACCCTGGACAGGTCTCCAGTCCATCACAGGGACACATAGAGACAAACGAGACAAACAACCATTCACTCTTTCACTCACACCTAGGGACAGTTTAGAGTTACCAATCAGTCTAACATGCATGTTTTTGGTCTGTGGGAGGAAACCGGAGCACCCGGAGAAAACCCACGCATGCACGGAGAGAACATGCAAACTCCACCCAGAAAGGCCCCCGGACCGGGGTTTGAACCAAGGACCTGCTCGCTGAGAGGCAGCAGCTCTACCAGTTGCGCCACCGTGCTGCCTGCGCAGAAAGATAGTGCAGCAATACCAGAATGGTGTTACCCAGCGTAAAATAGCAAAGACTTTTAAGTTATCATCATCAACCGTGCATAAC